CCCCAAAACCCCAAAACCCCATGAAAATTTATACGAAATAATAAGAAATATGAAGCAATCGATTAATAAATAATAAATAAATAAATAACATTTAAATAATAATACAATACTCAGTTCATTCTGAAATTTCATTTTACTCCAGAGTCTATATTCAACTTACCGATTGCACCCTCTATTAGCAAACTTTCCTTTTTCTTTTTGAAGCTTACCTTTTCAGATAACTTCTTTTGCCGTTTATTGGGGGATGATTATTGAGTTAGTATAGTTTGAGTTGTGTCTGTCATTTAAATATCACAGGTTAAATTTTTTCCTTGTTCTATAAAACTTTTAAGAGAAAATTTCTCTTCTACTTAGTTACTTCGACCGCTGCTAAAATGATTATTTCCCAACGATGAGACAGCATTTGTTGAAGAGTCCGAAAAATCCTAGTCGCTGCTTACATTTTCGTCGAAGGAGTTTTCACTCTGTAATTTGGAACCTGGATTATTATTTGAATATTATTAAGATTTTTGCTCGATATTTTCTATTTTCATTTATTCTTTGATTTCTGACTATTATTACCTCTAAACCTTTTCTTTTGCTAGTTTTTGATGTTTTTAAGAGAGATTGTCAGTTTATTTCAAAGACTTTTTTAGCATAAGTTATTTCTCAGCTGCATTATTGATCCTTTTCTTAAGAATTTTCTCATTTTAGGTCAGTAGGGCGACAGGATCAACCGATTTTTTCTTGAGTTCTATTGGTTTATTATTTATTTTCTAAACTTTTATATTAATTCTCTGTTATCTTTAAGGCTTTATCTTTATTTCCTGATAGTAAAGTTCATTTATTCTCTTTCTTAGTTCCTTATAAGAGGTAACTTCTCTAATTAAATGCTCAATGCGCTATTTCTCGTCGAAAAGTGTAGACTTTAAATCCTCAAGCCGAGATATATCTGATAGAGAGTAGTCTGTCTGGGTTTAGACCTCACAATTCATTAAAATTTGGAAGATTAGATTATAAACATTTAAACATAAACGATTTACTACAATCCCTGTAGAATTAATAGCAACCAGTGCACTAACACATAAACACCCAACTTACTAGTAAATGATGTGATTCATTTTGCGTATATTTTCATATCTATCGATAAACGAATGAATGCAGAGATCATGGGGTTTTGGGGTTTTGGGGTTTTGGGG